CACTTACCCACCCAGCACGAACAGCAGCAGCTGGTGCGGACGCAGCCCCGCCCGCTGCCTCCTGGGGAAGCCAGACTACATTTCCCACAAGGCCGCGGGGACGCGGCGTGGACGTTGGAGTGCGCAGGCGCAGGCCGATTACTGGGAGACGCGGTTCCAGCCGCCGGTCAGAGGTGGCTCCCACAAACGCTCTCCTAAGTTGGGTTGTGGCTTGCCAAAGCCGCTGCGGTCGGCGCGGATACCTTACCCCGGCTGTCCTAAAGAAGCCCTTCCTTAGAGCCTGTCAGTGCCCCGTGGGGAGGGGAAACGGGGCAGGCATCCTTGGCTAAGTCTCACTTTCCTCTTCTGAAGTAAAGGGAACCCAGAAGAATCCCTTGCAAAGTTGTCATTCTAGTATTAGACGAGGTGGTAACATGCTGGATACACAGCAGGCACTCCATGAGTGGTGGTTACGGTACCCCCAGCCCTAGCTCGGCGTCAGATGCTGCTCTATGGGCTTCAAAATTATCACTGCATAGTATGAGAACAAAATCTCCAATTAAATATATGGCCAGAGTTGTTCGTTTCAGCTGGATCTGCTGCTAGAACTTGGAGAAGTACATGACATTTGGGGCGGACGACCTGGTAGCTTAGATTGTAATATTCGGTTTTCTAAAAATAACTGCTAGTTTCCTCTGCCGCTTTCTATTCCTATGACAATAATCCACCCATGACCGAACTTCAGAGAGGTTCCTCTGAGCCCTCTTTTCTTCTAGGCATGGTTCCTGAGCCCCATCGTTGGCCTGTAGAGCCCAGTTTTAGCAAGGATCCTGCTAAATCAGTTTAGGTAGCAACTCCATTCTTAATAGCTGATCAAATTCCTAACCCCCTACTCTTGATGTTTAAATCCTTTAGCAAGAATCCTCTTAGGCTGCTTTGATGCAGGACAGGGCAAATTCCCTGGAGTTGGGGGAAACAAAGCCCTGCACTGAAAGAAGAAGGTTATTTGGTGGAGAGTGTAGAAAAAATTCAACACGCACACCAAAGTTAGAGTGAAAAGAAAAGTTTAATGGAGAAGAGGTAACACTCCACAGAGTGTGGTCTCTTCTCAGAGGTAGGGAGTGAGAGAGCCTAAGAGAGACTCAGAGGGACAGAGAAAATAGCGAGAGACAGGACGGTGAGAGTAAAGGCACTGAGAGTGTCCCCCAGTGTTTGGGGAATCCAGTTTATATATCATTCTTTAGTTCCTGTGAGTTATAGTTTAAAGACTTTGTTTATCCATTTCTTTTGATATGAACATACAGTGAGGAAGGGGTAGGGGAAAAGTATGTAATGTGAAAAAGGTAAAATTATGTAGCATGAAAGGCCTGCTGGGAGTTTCAAGCCTTTTATCCTTAGGTTCTCCATGGTTTTAGCCATAGGGAATGAGCAATTTTATTTTGTGTAGGGCAGCCACTTAAAGGCTGTTTTTCCTGTTTCTCCTTCATCTGCAGGTGTCCTTGTGGCCTGGCTGAAGGGATGATCAGCATATTACAGTCTCTGAATGTAGCTTGATTTAACATTTACTTCTCTTTCAGTTTCAAGCCTTTTATCCTTAGGTTCCCCATGGTTTTAGCCATAAGGAATGAGCAATTTTATTTTGTGTAGGGCAGCCACTTAAAGGCTGTTTTTCCTGTTTCTCCTTCATCTGCAGGTGTCCTTGTGGCCTGGCTGAAGGGATGATCAGCATATTACAGTCTCTGAATGTAGCTTGATTTAACATTTACTTCTCTTTTCTCCTCCCTACATTAAGTTTAGCAAGAATCCCCCAAACTTGCTCTCTGTTTTTGGTAATTTTCCATCCACTGAACCTCTGAATCTGCTTTTTTGCTGTAAAACCCCAGCCATCTTCTGTATTGGGAGTTGAGTACAGTTCTACTTAAGCCTTTCTCTGCTATGGCAGTAATAATGAATAAAAGATGTTTTTACTGCCTTTAGCGCCCAGCTCCGTTTCTCTTTGAGAGATGTCTGAACTATTTCAAACTATTGAAAAGTATGAAAATCTTCATAATTCATTTACTCGAGTTAAGGTAATCCAGATAACACCAAAGTTAAAAATATCTATCACTGCACTAAGACAGATAGCTTGAACCAATTTCTCCAGGATTACAAGGGCATTCTTACATTAGAAACAACATGAACATAATCATCATACCTGTTCTGGGGTTGGAAACAGTCCTAATAAAACTCACAACATAGGATGTGCAATGTCCAAACAACTAGGCAGAATGTGGTGCAGGGGAGAGGGAGAAGGAAACAAATTAATAAACAGACAAAAAAACCAACAACCCAGAAACAGAAAAATTCAGATAAACAGCAAGTACATAAGAAAATGGCAGCAATTAATCAGTCTGTCAGGAATTACTACATATAAACATGGATTGAACTTTCTACATAAAACAAAAATACTCTCAGACTAGGTTTTTAAAAATTTAGCTATATGCTAAAACATAAGGAAACACAAATCTTGAAAGTAAATAATTGGAAAAAGATAAACCTGGAAAATATTAACCATAGAAATTACTATAGCTACATTTAGATTTTTAAATAGTTATGGCAAAAAATATTGCTAGAGATATAGAAGGTAATTAAAAAATTACCTCATGCTAGGCTATAAAGCGGTCTCAATACATTTCAAAGAATTGGTATCATAAGGATCACACTCTTTAGCAATGATGCAATTAAACATTTTTTAAAAGACCAGAAACTTAAAAAAATTGTAGGTAAAGGGAATATTTAGAGATTGGTCTTTTCACACTGACAGATTCTCTCCTTCACCAAACTCTAATCAGGTTACTCCAAGCTCTTATTCAGCTAGGCCTTGACTTTCAGATTCCTGGGTTTATTTCCACATTGTACAATTTTAGCAAGAATTCTGCTAAGCTGTTTTAGCCAGAATCCCACATCCTCCATGTCTGATCACCCTCGCTATCTGGTTCCTCATCTTCCATCATCCACCTATAGTTTTGTAACCAGTGTCATGAACTTTTTCCTTAACAGGTAGGATATTTTTTCCTTTAATAACATATTAAATTTTGTTCCCTTCCAAAACCCAGTAGAACCAAATGTAAGGAATTATTTGAAAAGTCGACTCACAAGGTCAGGAAAAAACAGGTAAGGACACACCAGCAACAACATTTTGGACCTGGAAAGTAGATGGATGTTATTTTCTCCGCAAACTTTAAAAATGCCAAATTCCCATATACATGTAAGGAAAGCTGAGAGCCAATGTGATCTTATATTCCAGAAATCTCCTAAGTACAACAGTGATAAT